TTTAATTTTGGTCAATCAATCCAATTGATTTGTTTCCCTAATTTCAGCCAATTAATTTAATTAATTGGTTTCCTTAATTTTGGTAAATCAATCCAATTGATTTGTTTCCCTAATTTCAGCCAATTAATTTAATTAATTGGTTTCCTTAATTTTGGTAAATCAATCCAATTGTTTTGTTTTCCCAATTTCAGCCAATCTACAATAAATCTAATTTAATGACTATATTTAAATCTCAATTTCAAATTCGAAATTCAAAATTAGAATTTAAATTAATTTTATTCAAAATTAGAATTCAAATTAATTTTATTGATTTAACATTTAAATTAATTAGGTTACATCATGGATCAAGTCCAACTTGACCCATGATGCCACCTACTCTCTCTTGACCCAATATGTGGGCTTTTCCAACTTAGGCCCATTATGCCTTATTGGGCCCAAAACACGTATGCTAGAATTGAAGACAATTTAAGGTGTTTGTGTGCGACCCATCAGGCCCAACATAGCCACTGACATAAATGGGCTTGGGCCCATTAGGCCCGATTCATCTAATGACAACACAGAGCACTAGCAATGCTTTGTTGTCCCAGAGCTAGTTGAGTTCATCGAATGATCAACCTGTTATACCTATTTGGTTACCGTGTGAATTGTCTTTTCGTCTCGGTTATCCATCCCATTGACTTAGGTCAAGAAAAACATATCAACCCCTGCGGTCTAGGGTTAGCTTTTGCCGAAACAGGGAATCTTCATTTACGGACTCTAAAGAGCGGGCCATCTCATGACTCCTTTACTATGCATAGATTTCTGAGTCTCGTAAATGTCATCCCGGTTTCACCGATCTACGGATAACCTAATCTCTTACAGAGATTGACGAATTCCTTTAGCTTGTCACACTAGCCCTGAGTCCTTAGGGCATGCCCAAGAGTATACCTACAAGTCTCCATGTTTCAGGCAGACAAGATATACAATCAAAGCAAGCCTTCCAGAGCACAGGTCTATATGACAACGTAAGGTCTAAGGAAAGACACACCCAAATAATAAGAAACATTACCTATTGATACTATCTGTGAGATTTCCTTGTAGTGTCTCTTTGTGGGTCAGTTCAGTGCGATCTATTCTCCAATAGGTCCACCCACGAGTCAGATAAGACATCTCTATGTCTATAGCTCACGAGGACTCTACCTTGCATCTCCATTCAAATAGCTGAGTCGTGCTAGTCTTACCCGAGATAACCAATGCCCATTATCGGTATCTCTAGACTAGGAACATATTTCTGGCAATGGACGTGTGGTGTCATTGAGCCCTCATGATCGTGATCTCTATCACAGATCCTCAATGTGACACCTATTCCATTCCAAGGGCTTTATCCAGTTATTCATATTCAATATTTGAGACAAGCAATATGAAAACAAGATAAATAATGCTTTTATTCATAAAATCTATTCATAACTAATAAAGAAGTACATAGATCCATCTGACTCTCAGATTGTCTCTAGGACACCTATGTACTAACACATGTATCATAAGCTTGAGTTTGTTTGGGTCTATGCATGTTAGACTTGCATCAAAGACAGAAATTATCACCTTTTGATTATGAGCTAGAAGAACGTTGATCATTCATTGAATTCTTGTGTACTCCACTAGTTATTGGAAGCTTCCCAAGTACCATAGGTGATACTCGAGGGTTTGATTTCGGTAGGAGGGAGGTGTTAGCTATGAATTATGCTTATTTTAATGGCTTTATTTTTACAATATTTGGGCTAAAAACTGGGTACAAGTGCAGGGTCATAGGCCAAATAAATGCAATACTGCCCAATAAGGTAAAAGAAAGGGAAAGAGATAATTTAAAGAGTTACTAGTCTCTTTTACTATTTTTATTGCAGTTAGAGAGCCACATGTGTTATCTTTTTGGAAGTGTAGGGAGAAAGCTGGACCATAGGATGAGAACAGGCATGGATAGACAGCAATGAATTTTAGGAGCTGTGTTTGTTTTTAGTTAAATAGAGGAGTTTCTTTTTGAATAAGACTTAAGTCAATTTAGTTTTGCAGTGGCAAGAAGTTAAGAGTTATAGTTTTTTTTTCTTTCGAGTTCCATAGTTTTAGTTTTTAACTTTCTAAAGATGCAAGCACAAGAACGAGTCACCATTGAAGGGATTTAAGAAGACCCATTCGAGTGCATCGTGTGAAGTCATTGTTCTGTTGTTAATCTTTCAATTTAAACAATTCCAATTTGAAGAACAACTGGTCTGTACCTTTTGCAATCTTTTCTTTCAAAGAAGTGTAATGCATGTCTCTTTTAAATTTCAGTACTTTTAGTTTTGTTCTTGAAAATATGGCTAGCTAAATTTCTTCTTTTCTAGAATTCACAATGAGTGGATAAACCCATTTATTTTCAGAACACTATGAGGCTTTCTTTTATTTCATTTGATTAGCAACTCTCTTAGTTTCAAGAAATCTTGGAAAATATTTTTGAACATTCTTGCAAGAGCTATGATTGGGAAATCAAGTGAATGCATTCTTGCTAATTGAACCTTTAGGTTAGCGATAACCAGAGGAGAAATTTGACATTTTTTGTATAAAGATTTAAAAGGCCTTGGGAAAGGATTCTTTTGGGGATTAAAACTGGAATTGGGAAATTCCAACGAAATAGTTTTAGTAGTTCAAATTCTGTGATGAAAGTGCCTTAGCAGTGGTAAAACGTAGGGATGCGAATTTTTTTGGGGAAGTCCATGAATTGATAATTTCAGGATTTTATAATTGTTGTTCTTAGTTGAATAAATATTTTAGTTACTTTTGTTAATATAAATATGAATACAATTTCAATTCATTTAGACTTTTCTTTGTTTGAAAGCTTGATTACTTAAAATTCAAGAATTTAGGAATAGAATATAAAAGAAAACTAAACAACTGTTCCCTGAGAACGATCTTGATCTTCAGATCTATACTACCCAACAAAATGGCGTCGTTGCCAGGGAACGATGTTTGATTTAGTTTCTTTTTGAAAATTCTGTCTTTTAGTTCTTGAATTTGTTTTCTTTCATTTCTATTTTTAATTTCTGTTGAACTTAATTTTTCTTTGTAGATTTTGCAGATTAATAATTCTTGATTGTGAAAACAGCATTGATACACTTAGCATTCTGCCAAATTTGAAGAAAAAAAATTTGGTTGTTAAACACTCCGAAAGGGAATCATAATGGCATGGGGAATGGATTTTCTGATACAACATTCATCCATGAAGTCAATGAAACATCTTCATTGGCAACTCAACTCGCAGCTATGCATAATAATGAGATGAAAATTCGTTCCCATCTAAGCTCATTTTGATGGTAAAATTCCATCTGTTTTTTCACCTTGTGACTAATTTTGGCCTCAAAAGCACAGTTCTAGAACTTAAGATCAAAGGCACCAGAAGGGAACGAATGATGATGTAATCCATTGAGAATACGAGAAAAGAGGAACAAATTAATTCATTAAATACACCTGCTCCACTGACTCAATCTCTCTGACCACTTTGCAGGAAACGTTGAAAAGAAGCTTTCAAAAAGCAGGAAGGGACATGTACATTAGAGAATAAAGAGTTACCATTGGGTGAAAGGAAAAGCAAGCATGGAGAATGCAGAAGAAAAGACAAATCTCAACAGTAAGTATCTTATCCAGCAACTTGCCTCCCAAAAGAGCATTGTTCACACCGCCTCTTCATGTAGTCAAGAAAACAACTCAAATGAAATTATTAGTTTTGCCATCCACTCTTCTGACCTATAAATAGGACATTCCAACACAAAAAAGCATTGAATTCCTTAAGAATATATCACTTAGGATAGTTTCAGTTTTTACTTTTCAGTTGTATAGTTTTTAGCAATAGTTAAGTGACAACAGCCCTTCCTCCATTCTATATCTTCCATTTGAGACTCCTCACGAGCAACTACCATACTTCTCCATTTTATTTTCTTGTAACCTAATCTTGTTTCTTATTAATATAAGTTGTTATTTCTCTTCTCTTCCAATCGTTATCTATGAACTGAATCTCAAGTCTATGGGACTTCAGTTTTGAATAATTATGTTTATAGTTATAGCCATGGGCTAAGTTATTTGTGGAACGAAAAAGCTGTGAAGTTCTTAAAGAACTACATTCAAAACTTTTGTACTGAAACTTTTGTATTTCTGTTATTTAAGTGGGCTTTATTCTTTGTGTATCAATAGAAATTGAACTCAAACTGAGAAAGGAACTTCCATAAGGAAGGGATTTCAGACAACATAATAAGATGAGGAAGGTAGTGTTGTGAAAACAACACTACTGGTTGCCTTAGGAATAAGGAACCACCTCGTTCACTGAAGATTTTGAACTTAGTAACTGTTGGAGTCAAGAGAGCCATAGGAATATGGAAACTTGTGAGCCATTAAAGTCCATGAGCTGAGGAATCAGAGTTGGCAGGGAAAAGACCTGAACAAATTCAGAAGGGTTAAGTCTTGAGTAGAGAATATAACTATTTAAGAATGGAACAGTGGATCCGTTCCTTGTGTTAAAAACTTTTTTTATCCATCCACATTGTTGTCTCTTAAATATTATTACCTTGTAGTTATTTTCTTTCATAAATCTTGTGACTAAAAAAATGGAAACTCCAATAAATCTTGTCGTTCCTTCTCACATCAAGAAGGATTTGGTATATAACGACGCGAGGAGTTGTTTGGAGTCAGACTGAACTTACTATCTTTGAGGAACGTTTTCAAGATAGTAGGGAAATAATGACCAAACAATTCAAATATTGTCTTTTCTTTTCATATTAATTCTTTGTAAAATAGTTTAAGGTATTATTTAGAGTTCTATCCTCGTGGGAACGATAATCTGGACATTAATAATCCCATTTATTACTTGATGCGTGAAGTTGCGCAACTGGGTTGATATCAAGAGAACGAATGTGTTTTCTCTTGATGGACTAAATAAAGAGAACGTCCTTAAAAGAACATGTAAGCAACCAACAAGTTCACACCCAACACATAACACAATGAAGAATTTGGCCAAGTTTATGGTAGAATCCAAGGAACGAGCACCTGCTCCAGTAGTTGTTACAACACCAGTTTGCTCATTGTGCTATGGTCCTCATGCCTTTGAAGGATTTCCCAGCAACCCAACATTTATCCTTTATGTGGTAAGCTTTAACCAAAATTACAACAACCATAACCAGTTTGATCAGCAAATATGGCAGAATCAAGGTGGTAATTTTGCCCAAAGTCAAGGCCAAAATTAGAAATACCAGCAGCCTTATGAGGGATGAGAGCAGTCATTTGAGCCAAATGTGCATTTCACACATAGCTTTATGCAACCTCCTTTTACTAACCAACAGAAGCCAAACAATGCTGAAGCTCAACCTCCAAATGACCAGTGGATGAATAGGATGCTACAAAATCATGAAGCTATGCTTCAAAGTCATGGAGCTATCTTGAAGAGCCTTGAGACACAAATAGGGCAGATTGCCTCTACCCTTAGTAGCAGACCTTTGGGGATACAACCAAGTGACACAGAAATATCTAAAAGGGATGGAAAAGAAGTATGCAAAGCCCTCCACTTGAGGAATGAGAGAGAAGTGGATCAGCCTAAACCTATTATAAGGTTATCCACCTTGAGGAGATTAATGGATAAGGATGAGCAGCAAGGTGATAACACTGTTACAGCCCAACCATCAACAATTCAACCCATACCTCAAGAAGAAGACAAAGGAGAGGAAAGCACTGCTGAACGAGTAAGGGTAGCATTGAAATCAAGGGCACCAGACAAGCTTATGCAGAACATTGAGGCTCATCAACCAATAATAACAAAGGCAAAACAAATCCTTTTTCCTCTAAGTCTCCAAAAACAATAAGAGGAGCACTACCTCTCCAACAATTTGTCTCAAAGGCTGGAAATCCAGGTTCTTTTACAACTTGTTGTGCAATAGGAGATAGGAATATTGGAGGAGCCTTATGTGATCTTGGCTCTAGCATCAAAAAGATGTGTACCTCTATTTTTAAACAACTTGGAGTGGAAGCTTCTCCTATCACAGTAACTCCTCAAATAGCTTATAGGTCACTTGCACACCATGATGGAAAAATAAAGAACAAATTAGTGAAAGTTTATAGGTTTATTTTTCCAGCAGATTTCATAATAGTTGATTTTGAAGCTGACAAGGATGTGCCTATTATATTGGATAGGCCATTCTTAGTTAAAAAGGATGCTATAATTGATTTTAAAATAGGAGAATTAACCATGGGAGTTAATGAGGAAAATATGGCTTTTAATGTTTTAAAAACAATAAATTTCATTGATGAAGACGTTAATGACTACTCTGCTATTTCTTTTTATGATCATTTGGTTGCCATGTGCTTTTAAATAGTGAAATTAGCAATTTAAAAATGGGCAGCCTTGAGCATGTGGAGGAAAAGCCAAAAAGAAAGTGAGCTTGTGTCAGCTTTAGTGTCCCAATCACCTAAATTCTTTGGAGACCATAAATTTGAACCATTAAGAGTGCTTGAGATAAAATCTAAGCTATAGCTCCTTATATCAATAGGGAAGACTTAGTCTAATCATAAAGAAAATAATCAATTGGTTGGATACCGGGCAGATTGTTCTAAATTTCAAGATAAGAATCAAATTATTTCTTAGCAAGATTAGATGGCTGAAGCACTACTGAACAAGGCATGTGAATAAAGATAAGACTTTCATTTCCTTATTGGATGCTGGATGAAACACTAAGAAGGGGTTCAATTAATTAGTTAGTTAGTATATGTATTTGTGTATTTAGAGCTTAGGCTAGTTTACAATGTGTAACTTTGGTCTTGTTTAGTTTAATTTTCTGAGTAGTTTTTAACTTGTCACATGTGTGTGATGTTTTAGTAGAAGGTAGGAGCACTTTTTTTTGTTATTGTTCTAATGTCATTGTTGTCTTCCCTTCCAATCAGCTCTGCACAATTCAACCTCAATTTGTTGGTTCAGTAAAAAAATAGCTGATTAGAGTGAAGTGGGCGGTGGTTGTCAACCATTGAATACTTAGAACTGCTCTCTCTTAGCTTTTTACTAAGGAAAACACCATGTGATGTGACCTATCCCTGCATCAATCTCATCTCACTTGCTCCACCTAAAAAAAAGAATACTCTTCCTTTTCTCTCTCTAGACTCACTGCACACATTTTTATCTCACTACCCCTTGAGACCTCATTTCTCATACCCATTTTTGTCGGTCAATTTTTTTTTAACTTTCCCATTTTTATTTGATCTCTCACTCTCCTAAAGTTCTCATCTTGTCGGCCTCATCACTCTTCATCGCCGAAAAGAAGAACACCACTTCATCATCAGGCTCGTTATGACCTTGTTGAGCATCTTTCATCCCTGTTGGTGTGGTTTGATTCGATTTCAGGTTTGGTACTTCCAAAACCCTAACACTCTCTTGCTTTGGATTGTTTCACTGATCTTCCATTTTTCTTTTTTTCCATTCTTATTTTATTTTTCTTTCCTTTGTCTAGGAGATTCAAACCACCTTGTATAAATCCCAACCACATACACTGACTTTGTTGATTCTCAAGTTTGGTTTCATGAACATTGAGATATTTCCATTTTTATATACTATGTAGTTCTTGAAATTTTGAGATTGATGAACATTTCATTCATGTTCATTTATTGCTCAATAACCTGGTTGCAAACGAATAAACAAACAGGGTATGTTGTGGTTCTATATCCAGGTGTTGAATTAATTTTTATTTTATTTTACAAGACTACTAATAATCAAACACCCATAAAAAATAAAAATAAATAAAATTAAACCTGAGTGAGCAAACCCCCTGTCACATATGTTGAACTGCAGTTTTAGTTTCTTTGTGTGTTGTATGTTGAGATGAGTCGAACAAGCAAATGGTTTAAATAAAAAAATAAAAAATAAAAAAGGAATTTTATGGTTGAAAGTAGCTAGTTCATGTCTCTATTTTGATAAGTATTGGCTAAGCTGGTAGTGGTTGTGAATTCTGGTTTGAGATATGTATTTTTGTGGTATCCATTATCTGTGTGACTATCTTGATGGTAATTTGAGATCTAACTGGTTTGTACTTTTGTAAGTAATATTATTGCTTCCCCTTACTAGCCTATGGTTTGTAATTTTGGGCTTACTAGATTGAATCACAGTTACTAATTTATGGCTTAAATTACTGAAATCTTTTAGTTGTGAATCGGTACCCTCATCTTATGCTTTCCTTTTTTCTATCAGACCAAACCACATATGAGATTACTGTAGTTATGTTTCTTGATAGTTTGGTTGCTAATATAAATCGCATAACTTTCACCTGTCAATATTTTAGTATGAAGTTACAATGTCACAGAGCACCTAAACCATATCAGAAAGTTAGTAATAAGGCCAGCAGTACATAAAGAGAATGATCCAGTTGAAGTGGAGGATTCTTCTTATGAAGATTGAGACTCCTCCTTCTCATCTGACCATTTTATGGTCATCCGGTTTCTATTATCATGATTTCTGCAATCTCACATGTCTCTTTTGCTTATATCACTCCCTACTATATAAAGTTTTATAATTAATGTGAGGACACAACTGCATTTTAAGTTTGGGGTGGTATACAGGGTACACATGTTGTGTTGATTAATTTTGCATGCCGAGTTTGAGAAAAAGGATGAAGAATTCAAAAAAATTTGAAGCTGAAGAGCAATTTTTTGGTTTATCTATACATATGACAGCCATTATCATGAATTCAACTATGTTGATCTTGCATATCTTATTAGCTCTATGTCTGTTTCATTCTAAGTTGGTTAATTAGCCATGCATCATCTATGTTGAACTTCATGAGAGCAGTCCTAACATGACTCAGCTTAGTTCATGTTATATCATTGAATAAAAAACTTGGTGAGGATTTGGACCCAAACATATATACTTTCTTGTTTAGTGGTCACTCTACTTTGTTGTCCTTAACCTATATTACACCTAGGCGACTAGTATGATCATTTCTATGTGATAAGGGCAGTTCTTTCTAATTGTTTAGCTAAGAGCCAAAAAGCCTTACCTTTTCATTGAATTTAATCCCATGATATCAAAATCCAACTCCCCCAATCCATCCTTATAGGCAAGCCTTAGTCTTTGGTTAATTCTCACTAGGCTGCAATGCAATAAAATAAGTAAGGTGTAACACCCCGTTACCGGACCGGTGTGTTAACATTGAATATGATATTAAACGCAGTTACAATCACAGAAGTTATTTGAATTTACGGGAAATTTTTTTTCCTTTTTAACATCGTTTACACCATTAAAATAACTGTGATCATAACCCAACACTTTATACGGAAAAATTAGTACCAGAGCCTAATACCATACACTTTTTTGTCTAAAGGATGCTAAGTGGTTCCCATAAACCAACAAAGCTTAAAACTCGTTCTATCCATTTTTAACACTAAATGTCTTAACCATTTTATTTACTCCCACAATTCTAAACCTATCAAATGCTTCTCATTTCTTAGTATGTTATAGATTTTCTCTTTAGCTTCACGTGGCTTCGAACCGTGCTCAATTCGGAGTACCGTAGCCAAAGTTATGACATTTCAAAGAAAATGGGTGCTGAAACAGTAGGACCCCCGCGCTGACAGCGCCATTCCCGCGCTGACAGCACCAGCAGAAAGTGACAACGGCGCCCACAGCGCCATATTGGCGCCAACAGCGTCAAGGTACAGGGGTTGTATGCCTAAAACATGAAATCTGACCTTCCTATGGTGTTCTGCCCATAACTTGAGTTATACAACTCCAATTTACACAATCTTGGTCTCATTGGAAAGCTAAGAGAAAGATCTCTAACTTTCAAGAAGATCAAGGGGTCCAATTCCTTCATATGGGAGACGAAAATTGGGCAGCACCCTAATTGTATTTCCAACAGTTCCCGAAAATTTGCCAGAGTTCCCTTTGTTTTTACAAAAATCCCCAATTTTGCCAACAAATCCTAATACCTCAAGGTGCATAAAATCACATGGGTGGCACACACAAGGACCAAAAATGCCATGGGCACTTACAACCCATCACAGTTTATCTTACATATACAATACATATTAGGTTTCAAGTTCAATTACATGCATTTGTTAATCGTACCTATAATCAATTCTACAATAGGCCTAAAGCCCTTCCTTCATATTATACATGCTTCAAATACATCATAGGTGGCTATGGACAAATCCCATGCTCACACAGAATATACATATAAATCCAAGGCATAGTTATACATCCATTTTTTGAAAGACTTACATATAGTCATGAATATACAAAAGCATGGCAATATCAACATGCACAAGCTCATAACCTAAATCCAAAGTATTAAACACTATACTAGGTGTATTCGATAAAATCCTTTAACATGCTATGCCCTCCATGTGCACCTCATACTCCACTCCTCCAGGCTCAACCTAACCTGAAATGATATCCCCAAACGCGGGGTGAGATATACAAATATACCTCAGTAAACCAAGGGTACTAGAGGATCACTCCACCCCATGGCTCACTCAATGTGCAACAAATAACATAGTATGAAATGCATGGCATACAATATCACAAACAACTGGGGACAAATCCAAGAACATCCACATCAGGATTCTGTTCAAGGACCCCATCATATAACTCCCGGAATCTTCCTGGTGCCTCTCCCATGGTTGAGACGACCCCATGGCAAAACCCAACTGGAACTCCTCATGAGCCCTATCCAGCGGAAGTCCCACGTTTAGATCATCCTAGTACTGCTCCCAGAGTCGGCCCCATGGCAACGACCCGACCGGAATCCCCAAAGGATATCTCCAGCGAAAGTCCAAACCAACACACATCTACTGGCCAGAGATCAAACAATTCACACACAACATGCTCCAAGCATGTCACACAATCAAGCAATAATGCATGAACATACATATTCACACAATGTTCAAAGACACAAAATCCAACCACAACCTTCCACTGGGCGTGGTGGAGCACACAAGGGACTAAACCCAAGTTCCAAAGGTTTACCTCAATTCCAAGCACGGCGCTCCAACACGTGTGCTCAATCTCAATCTTCCACTATCGCGTCCGTGTGAGGTAACCTATATTGATCAACATAATGACCATCAAACCATTTGCAAACAATCAATCAATTTCATAATGTCATAATTAAACATAATTCTCTAGGCCCAATGACCATTATCCCTCACATTCAATTTCCATAATCCCCTTTATCAATCAAACTAAATTACCAATTCATCATTCTAGGCCTCAAAACATCAACCATTTATTATACACTATGTCTCACCTCCTTTTTCTCTAAATTTCCCCCTATGGTTCGAATTTCACAAGAGAACACCCCACAAGGTTCTCAATCCAATTCAACACTT